TCGGTTCCCGGTTGAAGATTTTATATCTTGTTTTCTTGATTGATAAAGTTTTCTAGTCATAGTTTCACACCTTTCACTGAGAATCTTATTATTATTTTTATTGCTACATGAAGCCATCTTCAAATTGGAATCTCTTAAATCTTCCTAGGCGAGACTGTTCCACGCGAGTGCCACTGTTTCATGAGAAATATCTAAGGATGCATACATCGTTTCTACTTTGATAAAGAGCAATTTTTCTCTTCATGATTTAATACAAGTAGAAAGATCAGTTGCTCTATATTCTCTATGAGTTGTTGGTGATCCTCTTGCTGTTCTAATTTCAGATACAGCCTATAAGGAATATCTTTGTTATTTGAATTATCGTTGGTCTGACAGAGAGTGGGTTTGTGTCTTACTTAAGGATTTCGAATTTTTACAATAATATCTTCTCGCCGAGTAATTGATGCTAACTTAGCTAGTTTGTTTTTGATTGCCTAAATTTTCTTGCAATTGCATACGTTTGCCGGATAAATTCGCTGATGATCGCCTTGTGTTGTCCTTTACTTTTTACGGCTTTAGGCTTCCTCGCGTCAACTACTATTTGACCGCATCCTGGCAGATGTTCCCTGCAGTGGTGATGGAACCATGCGCAAGAATCCGGATCTCTGGCTCCGGTGGACACCAAATTTGGCAATCGGAGAACACTTTCTGCAGGCGAGAATATTGCGCCGTGGCCTCGAGCTCTTGAAGGACCCTGATTCGGAGAATGCTCTTCCCGAAGAGAGCCCCGGCTATTCTCGTCTGATCTACTCGACATGCAGCCTAAACCCGATAGAAGACGAGGCAGTCGTTGCCAGTGTATTAGTTCAGTGTCAGGGCGCGGTGCAGCTTGTTGAACATCCTCTCTTTACCACCGATGAGACAGATGGCCAGGCCAGTGATACACGATCATCGAGTGGGGTAAACGAGAAGCGATTCAAGGCGCGAAAGGGCCTGACCACCTGGCGAGTAATGACAAAAGATGGTACTTGGTACGAGTCTTTTGATGCTGTGCCGACCAAGTATGAATAAGGATTAATTTTCTCCTCAATGTTGCTAATTTAACATTTAATAATTATGGACTCAATTTAAGGACCAAGTGGCCAAATATTACATGCAAATATCCAGAAAATTAGACCCTGGGTCGCTCCTTTTGACCATTTACTTGCTGTCTTTGGAGCTTCTTTTACTTAGGTACACTTTCTTATTGTCAGGGCACAATCTTGTTTAGATTTGAAAATATGAAAAATTCGAAAGAGGATGCCTTAGTAAG